AGATGAGACGTAAAACATGTGACCAGTGGTTAAAATGGTATTCTGCTAAGTGCTGACAGCATAAGGTTGAAGTTTCATTGTGGTGCAGATTTCATCACCTGTGGGTACATCTTAACAAGGAACATTAGGAATTTATTCTTAATGGATGAATAAAAACAAAGCATCCTTCTACTAGAGGATGGAAGGCACTGACTGCTGCTAGAAGGAACTATAGTTAACTAATGAAAAGTCTTGAAATATTCAGGGACATGAGATAATCTAAAATACCAAGGATATCTGTAGAGTCTGGACAGGATTAATTATGAAATGCCTCCAAATAGTCAGAAAACATTTTCCCATGGAATCTTTCTTATTTTAATTGATAAAACACATAACGGCCTGCCCACTTAAACAGGGGACAGAGTTGGGATGTCTGATCTTTCTGTTCTTCCTAGTTAGTACATCTGGGGAGTGATGGAAACGGATGAGAGGACAGGCTAACTTTGCAGAAGGTTCAGAAATCAGAATTGTGTTGTGAGCTGCCTGCTATAAGAATGATCTGAGCAATGTACGGTCATGTCTACACTGGGGGAGCAAATCAATTTAAGATACCCAAATCCAGCTATGATAATCACGTAACTGGAATCAACATACCTTAAATCAATTTTATGGGGTAACCCCACAGTAGAAGGTCGATGGGAGAAATTCTGCCAACTTCACTCACTCCTCGTGACTCTGAGGAGTACTTGAATCACTGGTGATGCCCTCAGCATCTGATTTAGCAGGTCCTTACTTGACTCACTAAATCAAACCCCGGAAAATTGATCTCTCGAGTGTCAATCGCTTGGTAAATATAGATAAGGTCTTATAGTGAATCTTCCACAGAACTTCTGGAAGCAGATGGATAGAGCATTGCAAATTTGCAGATAGCTATTTTATATGCATGGCTATAGTAGCACATATCTGCAAATAGATTTTGCAGATGCAGATACTAATTTTCTATCTGCACAGGGCTCTACAGGAGAATGGGAGGAAAGGCGTATGTGGACTTGGGATATAAGCGACTAGTGACTCGACTAGTTGCTTCCCCCCACATTCTGATATAGGCAGCAGAGAGGCAATGGGAGTGCGGGGGGGGGGGGGAGAGCTGGCTTAAAAGTTGGTTGCCCCTAGCACAATCTCTATGAGGGGGCAGAGGCACAGCAGGGAACTGGTAGCCCTTCCACCTTTGAATGTAGCAAGAATGGGGCTCTTGTACATTTCACAAGCAGGGAGCACAGCATCAGTGGGGGACTACTTGAATCCCCCGCTCACTGCATGTTCCCCAAGGCACTTCCGCTATGGAAATGTAGCAAGAATGGGGCTCTTGTACATTTCATAAGAAGGGAGCACGGGGCCAGTGGGGGACTACTTGAATCCCCCGCTTGTTCCATGCTCCCCAAGGCACTTTTGCTATGGAAATGTAGCAAGAACGGGGCTCTTGTACATTTCAAAAGCAGGGAGCAAAAGTGTAGGCACCCTTATTGACTAGTCAAGTAGTGTATGGAAATAATCAACTAATCAAATAGTTGGTATTAATCTACATTTAACATCCTTAATGTGGATCAAGCCTGTCCAGTATAACAGAATCATAGAATCACAGGGTTGGAAGAGACCACAGGAAGTCATTGAGTGCAACCCCCTGCTAAAAGCAGGACCAATCCCAAATAAATCATCCCCGCCATGGCTGTGTCAAGCTGAGACTTAAAAACTTCTAGAGATGGAGATTCCACCACCTCCCTAGGTAACTCATTCCAGTGCTTCACCACTCTCCTAGGGGAATATCCAGCCTAGACCGCCCCTATTGGCACTTGAGATCATTGTTCCTCGTTGTGTCATCTGTCACCAAAGAGAACAGCCTCTTTTCTTCCTCTTTGGAACCCCCCTTCAGGTAGTTAAAGGCTGCTATCAAATCTCCCCTCACTCTTCTCTTCTGAAGACTAAATAATCCCAAATCCCTCAGCCTCTCCTCGTAATTAATGTGCTCCAACCCCCTAATAATTTTTGTTGCCCGCCGCTAGACTCTCTCCAATGTGTCCACATCCTTTCTGTAAAGGAGAGCCCAGAATTGGACACAATACTCCAGATGTGGCCTCACCAGTGCCCCTACAGATATTTCCCATATCTGCTCTAGAGCAGTAAATGGTGAAATACATACTCATTTCGGATGAGAACAGATCCCAAGAAGGAATTCCTCACTTCGTGTATCATTCAATATGGAACTGTGTATCTCCCATTCATGATCTGTGGAGAAATGCCTGCTGAGATAATCTTCTAGAGAATTCTGTGCACCTGGCAGGCAGGTAGCCAAGACATTTGAGGTTTCTGATACACCAATTCCATAAATTAATTGCTTCAGACAGGGGATTTTCTTCCACTTTGTTTATGTAAAAGAGTTGCCATGCTGTCCGACATTATTTGGACATGGTGGGAACTTGGTGGGAAGAATACATTGCAAGGTAGTTGACCTGCTCTCAGTTCTCATAGGTAGATGTGTATTTATAGCTTCACAAAGGAGGCCAAATTACTTTTGTGGTATGAATGTCTAGTTCTGCTGCTCAGTAAGAGATGCCTTTGTGATAAGTCATATCTGGTGGGGATGTGGTAAAAGGAACTCCCAAAGGTTCATCCACCAGGCAAGATGACTATTGTTATTCTGGTGTTTATGTGGTCTCTGTTTGGTAGGTAAATGGAGCAGAGTCAGACTTGTAAGCAAAATAGGTGTTGGCAAACGGTGTTACATAAGTACACAATATAATTTAGCCTTGTAGGAAAAGGTAGACTAACAGAGCTTATGGTATGAAAGAGACTTGTCCTATCAAATTGTTCATGTTCTTGAATATTTCTGTAGGGAAGCATGCCCTTGTTGAGGTCAAATCTAGGTTCACTCTTATAAATTGCATAGTCTTAAGGGAGTCAATCTTGACTCTTCTTTGTTGACACACATCCCAAAGGCTGCCAGAAGATGGAGCAAAAAGAGTCCCCAACTGGACCTCCTGACTGGAGTGACCCACTTAAATATCTACAGGCACATGATTCCAGATCAGGACAAGCAGCAACAAGGAAGAACTGGAGAGGGGTTAGTCCATACTGCTCCCTATGCCATTGGTTCAGAGTACGAGGGGAGCAAATGTGTGGGTACAGACCAATAGACACTACTCGCTACAAATCTCTGAACTCAGGTGCATGGTGTTCATGCATATTGTAACCGACTGAGACCAGCTGGTGGCTACACACTAATGGAGGGTAAGTATGCAGGACTCTAGATAGTTTTCTCTTCCCTGAATAAAGTGCTAGAGTCTGCTGCAATGTAATCAAGGAAGCAAACACGAGGCTAGTTAATTGCCTGCCTGAACCTATATGATAATAAGACACCTACAGCCAATTAGAGCAGGGGTGGGGAAACTCTTCTGGGTTGGGGGCCACTGACATACAAAAAAATCCATCAGTGGCTGCACACAAGTGAGAAGCAAAAAAAACCCAACCAAGCTTTCTCCGATGTCGCCCCCAACTGAGGAGAAAGACACTCCCCACATTCCCCCCTTTACACCAGAGCCTAGAGGGGCCCAGGCTAGTACATTTTGTGTACCCCAAGCCCATTAGGGGTGGGGGGCAGCTGGAGCACTAGCATAGGCTCCCCAATGCTGCGAGAGGGGAGCCTTGAGCCTTTGGGGCTGGATCCAGGCAAGCTGAGGGCGAGATGTGGCCTCTGGGCCTTAGGTTCCCCATCCCTGAATTAAAGCCTGTCGGTCTGCTTTAAAAGGTTTCCCCCAGGTAAGGAAAGGGGAAGGAAAAGAGTGAAGGACTGGGAGGAGGAAGTTAGTTGCTAGAGAACTGTGTGTGTGTGTGAGCTGAGGACTGACTTGTTCAGGTACCAGAGGAAAAGTACAAGGAGGGATTTTTTGGGGAAGTGGCCCAAGGAAAAAGCTGCCAGATGGGGAGTAAAAGTAACCCTGTCCGTTGCTACTGACTTAGGGTTCCTGGGCTCGAACCAGCAGTGGACAGGCCCAGGTTCCCCCAACCCTGCCCCCACACCATTACAGAGTCTGCCCCGAGAAGGGAGACCAAGATTACAGAAGGGTTTTCACCCCAAACTGTGGACTAGCCTATAATGAGTATGGCTTAATAGGCTGTAATCTTTGCCTCTAGAAAAAGAAGAAACTGTGTGGAGGGTCCCATCAAGTCTCTGAGGCAAACATTGTCCATCAGAAGCACAGGACCCACAGGGCATAGTGGAAGCTCTGCTACAACATCCATGTATGAAACACCTAAAAGACCAGCACTCAAAGAAGAACTGGTCCATAAGACTTCCATTAGTTTTTCAAGCAAAATATTTGCTATAAGCTTCTGTAGCTTGTTCCTTTAATGCAGTGGTGGACATCCTGCAGCCCAAGGGCCACATGTGGTCCATCGGGGTTCTATGTGCAGCCCAGGAGACATTTTGTTTAGCATTGCCCATGCACAGGGTTCCCAAATACTGCTAGATTTTGTCCACATTGGTAATACCAGTAGGAAAAAAACCTAAGTGACATGTTCTTAAAGCAAGGGCATATTGCACACAACATTGTGAGAGCAGTCTTCCTCCAAAGGACTGCTATGTTTCAGTCGGCACACACTACAAATTATAGGTATGCAAGTACAGTTACCATACTACTCTGTTTCAAGAGACTATCTTGATTGACAAACTTGCAGCCCACTCAGATGAAAGAGGGTCTCTCACTAGCCCAACTTGCCCCCAACTTTAATTCATTCAACAAACAGCTTACAATACCAATTAACAGCTACATCCTCACCTAAAAGTTATTGAAGACAACAGACTATATAATATAATATATTCTAAAAGAAACAAAAAGGCCTACAGATAAATATGGTACTACACTTAATAAAATGCCATTTATCTTTAACCTAAGTCAATAAGTATAACACAAAAATAAAGTGAAAGATGATTTGTTATTATTTCATATTGTAAATTTAATACTCACCAATATTTGGGAAATTTAAGCAGTTTGCCATAAACAGCAGTACTGAAAGAGGGGATAATTGAAGCAGGTAAACAGTATGATCCTCTAATGTCCAAAGAAGTCAGTCCTGCCTGAAAACCAAATATCTGAAACAAGAAAAAAGGTCCAACTATATAACTGATATAAGATTTAAGAAGCATAAGATTAGATCTACCAGTTTCAATTTTCTTCACAATAATTGGTATGGGGGAGGTAGGCTCGAAAGTGGAGACAAGTGGATTATGTTTGACACACTGTAGAAGGAGGAAACAGTGGAGGAACACAAAGAGAAAAGTGACATTTTCAAAGTGAGAGTCCAGATAATTATCTTTGCAACAGTATACTGAATGGGTATGAGGGGGGAAAGACTTGATTTATTTGTCAAGGCCAAAGAGAAGAAGATATTGTAGTCTTCAACATACAACATGATAACATGATAACATGCCCATCTATAAAAAGGGGAATAAGAACAACCCAGGAAACTACAGACTGGTCAGTTTAACGTCTGTCCCAGGGAAGATAATAGAGCAGGTAATTAAGGAAATCATATGCAAACACTTGGAAGGTAATAAAGTGATAGGGAATAGCCAGCATGGGTTTGTGAAGAACAAGTCATGCCAAACTAATCTGATAGCTTTCTTTGATAAGATAACGAGCCTTGTGGATAAGGGAGAAGCGGTGGATGTCATATACCTAGACTTTAGTAAGGCATTTGATACAGTCTCGCATGATATTCTTATTGATAAACTAGGCAAATATAACTTAGATAGGGCCACAATAAGATGGGTGCATAATTGGCTGGATAACCGTAGTCAGAGAGTGGTTGTTAACGGTGCTAAATCCTGCTGGAAAGGGATAACAAGTGGAGTTCCTCAAGGGTCTGTTTTGGGACCCATACTGTTCAATATCTTCATCAATGATGTAGATATTGGGATAGAGAGTACGCTTATTAAGTTTGCAGATGATACCAAACTGGGTGGGGTTGCAACTTCTTTGGAGGATAGGGACATAATTCAAAATGACCTTAGCAAGTTAGAGAAATGGTCAGAGGTAAACAGGATGAGGTTTAATAAAGAGAAATGCAAAGTGCTCCACTTAGGAAGGAACAATCAGTTCCATACATACAAGATGGGAAGCGACTGTCTAGGAAGGAGCATGGCGGAAAGAGATCTAGGGGTCATAGTGGACCACAAGTTGAATATGAGTCAACAGTGTGATGCTGTTGCAAAAAAAGCAAATATGATTCTAGGTTGTATCAACAGGTGTGTTGTAAGCAAAACTCGTGAAGTCATTCTGCCGCTCTACTCTGCACTAGTTAGGCCTCAGCTGGAGTACTGTGTCCAGTTCTGGGCGCCACATTTCAAGAAAGATGTGGAGAAATTGGAAAGGGTACAGAGAAGAGCAACAAGAATGATTAAAGGTTTAGAGAACATGACCTATGAAGCCAGGCTTCATGAACTGGGCTTGTTTAGTTTGGAAAAAAGAAGATTAAGGGGGGACATGATAGCGGTTTTCAAATATCTAAAAGGGTGTCACAAGGAGGAAGGAGAAAATTTGTTCCTCTTGGTTTCTGAGGACAGGACAAGGAGTAATGGGCTTAAAGTGCAGCAGGGGAGGTTTAGATTGGACATTAGGAAAAAATTCCTAACTGTCAGGGTGGTCAAATATTGGAATAAATTGCCAAGGGAGGTGGTGGAATCTCCCTCTCTGGAGATATTTAAGAACAGGTTAGATAGACATCTGTTGTCAAGAGTTTTAACTATCTGGATAGATGGAAAGGCTGTATCCTAGAGACCTTATACAGAATGAATCAGCAACATTTAGGTATAGCGTGGATGTGAGGCCCCAGAAAGAAGTCTGAGTCAACCATGACAGCTCAGTTATGGGCTGAACAAAGGGCAGGATGAAAATATTGTCCACAGCAATCAAGGACAAGAAAGAAGACTTGGGAGAAGGAAGACTATTACGAGTCCCAGTTAAGCTATGCGGAACTTGACCTGACAGCTAGATATACATGAGGAGACATCAGAGAGGCAGGCTGAGATTTTAATTTGGCTGGACGGAGATAGAGATCTGTGAATTAGCAGCACAGAGGTGGCAGCTGGATTTATGTTGATGGATGACATTATACAGACAAGGGGATCAAGGACATCTAGAAGGAGTGATTAGAGATGTAAGAAAAAACAATTATATAACTTAAGGGAAAATAAGATTTCTACAAAAAAACCATGGTCAACTGTGTTGAAGGTGACTGACAGATTATGAAGGATGAGGATGGAATAATAATGATAAGATTATGAAGGATGAGGATGGAATAATAATTCTATGCTTTGGCTAGAAAGAGGTGAATTGAGCCTTTGATGACAGCAGTTTCAGTAAAGGAGAAGATGTGAGAAGAAAGACTGCAGAGTCTAAGATAGAAATGGAAAATAGGTACTCCAGACAGCAGCTGCAGAAAGTGGGGATATTAGTATGTAGTTGTTTACATGATTAACCGATAAATTTGGGCTTATTGGTTAATCCTAACGACTATATGCACACACACCCTTGGCTGCCTCTTATCAGAGAAAACAAATTTGTAATGGAGGAATTTCAGGCTGGTCTGGGATTTCCATCAGAAATTCTCTTCAGCATCAGACAAGAGCAGAGAAAATATTTTTGATGATGAACCAAGGTGGAGGTAGCAAGGCAGACCTTGAGATTGTTCACTCCACTTGATATGAGAGATGAGCAAGAGAGTGAAGGGTGGATATAAAAGAGTGCAAAATGGAGAGAATCAACAACAAATTGATGGAGAAAGAGGAAGAGAAGAGAATACTGAGAGCATATGAGAAGTCATCCAATTCTGATAAAGTCACAGAAAGACTCAGTGACATACTTTTTTGGTGGTCAGAGAGACTAACAAATGATGTTGAAAGATGTCATGTAATTGCCAGACAGGGGGAAGTCAGCAACAGAGAGATAAACAACAGAGCTATGCTTGCTAAAGATCAGGACAAGTGAATGGTCCTTTCGGTGAGAGAGAGAACTGAAGCGGGGCTGGAGGTCAAATGAAGACCACACGGTCAGGAAACAGAGTTAAGGGGTTGAATGGGTCATCAGCATTAAAACGAGAGAGAGAGAGAGAGAGAGAGAGAGAGAGAGAGAGAGAGAGAGAGAGAGAGAACGTCTACACTAGCCCCCTAGATCGATCTAGGGAGGCTAATGAGGGTGACCAGAATTTGATTTGCATATTCCCACCCGGTCGCCATTTTAAAAATTGACTAGCCCAAAGTAACAGCCCACGTCTAAATACGGCAGTGAAACGGGATTCCAGAATAAAGCCCTAAATCGAATTAAGTGGTATTTCTCGTGGAATGAGGGGAGCTGAGTGAAGAGCAGATGACAACACAGCAACAAGGAGGTATACCTCTCTCATATCTCACAGAACTGGAAGGGACCTTGAGAGATATTTGCATTAATTCTTTCCATGTTCTTAAATAATAAATACAATTCATATTTTCTTTTACCTTAAGGTAGCAGTGTGCATAACAGTAATGAAGCAGGTTATCAGAAGGCTGGCTAAGGCTGCTGACCGTTTGCACAAGTTGTTCAGCGTACATTGGCACAGAATGTTCCAGGTTAATTTTGTCCACCAATATTCTAATAGCAGGCAAAGGCCTTAAAGGCTGGAAGCTTATAGCGTTTAACAAACCACATGAACTCTAGAAAGAAAAAGAAAAAATATTCTAAAGGCAAACTTTTATGCAATACCCTGATGCAGGACATCATATTTCTATCAATAACATGTTTTAAAAGTCTGAAACACTTCTAAAATAATTTTCCTGTAATAAGTTTCATGTACAGAGTATGTCAAGATACAGCATGCTAGTCTATAAAAAGGTTATTTACCCACTGCTTTGCCACTTGAAAGTAAAATGCCCATGCCAACAACTCATGCTAATATCTTTGCGCCACTCTTCCCTATCCAGTGTTTATAAATGTTCAGATATCTTTACTATTTACAACAATACAATGCATTTAATTGTCAAAAATTAAAAATTTGAAATACAATGTATCAAGCTGTGACCATCCTCCCTAAGCTACCACAGAACGTGTCATGTCACAGGAGCTACTCTATTAGCACTACACAAAAAGATCCCTTTCATTGTAATGGTGTTGTGCAGGCAGCCTTTATAAAAAGATGATCAAAGTGGGTAAAAAGTGATCAAGTTTATTTTGATCCACCAATGTGTTTATGAAATAAATAGAAATTTGACATAAAAGCTAGTAGAAACTGGAAGCATTTCAAATAAAATCTGATTAGGGTTTTTCAAGGTCCCTGGAAAAGCCACAAAATTACTACTTATAGAATGAATATGGTGTAAGATAGGTAAAGTACCTTCAAGGACTCCAGTTGTGTGTTTTTATTGGTTAATTCTGATGGAAATGTTTGCTATCTGTCCTGGATGTTGCTTTTCTCGTAGACACCTGCATCTTGGTTAAAATGGATTGACAGCTTCCTACAGTTAAAAAGATCTAACTAAAGGAATTGAAGCAAGCTTCATCAGCATAGTTTCCATCACCCTTACAGAGACCTAAGAATCTACCACCAAACCATTAGGCCTTCATTATCCTAAATATGAAAAATGTTCTGACCATATGATGGGAGTATGTCAGGGGACACCAAAATCTAAGTTGGGTGCAATTAAATCTTAATCAAAATCTAACATTCAGAGAAGTAGCCATGTTAGTCTGTAGCTGCAAAAAACTTTTTAAAAAAATAGCGAATAGTCTGCAGCACACACACTATCTTTATTTTTGGTTAGTCTGTAAGGTACTGCTAGACTATTCGCTGTTTTTTAAGCTTTTTCAAAACCTGAGATGTGAATCTAAGGACAGGAACCACAGGAGCCACTCCGGAGGGGTGAGTGCAAGGTAGCATTCTCCTCCAGTCCCTGCCTTCCACCCACTACAACTAACACTGTTCCTCCTCATTTTCTAAAGCTTTTTTTTTTTAAAATCAAAAGTTATTAAATCCAGGATTTCTATTAAATTTACAATAACTGCTCAATGATTTTTGTTAAAAAAAAATCCATGACAAATGTTCACCTCAAGTCACACTGAGCAAATGGCTTTAACACTTTATCTAGAATAATATCCATGAATGTCAGCATTGAACGACAGATTGGATTAGAGGAGCGTATTAATCGAACTTCAAAAGCATCAAAAAAGTAAAAGGAAATGTAGCAACCAATTAATATTAACAAATTTATTTAACTGTAAATCACTAGTGGAGAGTCTTTAAAGAAGAAAGTACTCCGATATATGCTGGACAACACATCACCCATGAACTGCACACTTTGGCCATCTCAGCTTTAGCATAAGAAATTATAAGCCAACATATTATTGGCATTGGTTACTCAGTTAGATTAAGTTGCAGAGATTTGTGTGGCGGATCTAAAGGTTCAAACGCTGCTGATGACCTATGTGGGTAAAATATAATTCAGAATGTATATAAGAAATTACATGCTACAAAGTGTTGTCTTGAACACTGATACCGAATTATAAAGTTTAAATGTTTCTAGAGAATACATATTGCAGCTGGGGTGCTGCTGGGTTGGTCCAGTAGCACGGCCGCTCCTCGGCTCTACTGGACCAACCCAGCAGCACCCCACCTGCTCTACCACAGGCCCCGGGTCCTCCACCGCTTTGCTCAGCATCTGCAGACCAGGGAGACGCTGAGCAAAGCCGCCGAGACGCTGATCTGGAAGCGGCCGCGGGTCCGGCCCCGGGTCCTCCGCCACTTTGCTCCCCGTCTCCCTGGTCTGCTGGGGGGGGGAACGCAGCTAGTGCCCCCCCCAGCAGACCAGGGAGATGTGGAGCAAAGCCCGGGGCCTGTGGTAGAGCAGGTGGGGTGCTGCTGGGTTGGTCCAGTAGCACGGCCGCTCCTCGGCTCTACTGGACCAACCCAGCAGCACCCCACCTGCTCTACCACAGGCCCCGGGTCCTCCACCGCTTTGCTCAGCATCTGCAGACCAGGGAGACGCTGAGCAAAGCCGCCGAGACGCTGATCTGGAAGCGGCCGCGGGTCCGGCCCCGGGTCCTCCACCGCTTTGCTCAGCATCTGCAGACCAGGGAGACGCTGAGCAAAGCCGCCGAGACGCTGATCTGGAAGCGGCCGCGGGTCCGGCCCCGGGTCCTCCACCGCTTTGCTCAGCATCTGCAGACCAGGGAGACGCTGAGCAAAGCCGCCGAGACGCTGATCTGGAAGCGGCCGCGGGTCCGGCCCCGGGTCCTCCGCCACTTTGCTCCCCGTCTCCCTGGTCTGCTGGCTCCCGCAGCAGACCAGGGAGACAGGGAGCAGCTTTTCTCGCCCCGGAGCTTTTCTCGCTCGAGTCCTCCGGGGCGAGAAAATCCCCGTTCGTAACTGCGGATCCGATGTAAGTCGGGTCCGCATAACTCGGGGACTGCCTGTACTAGAAAATTAATACAAAGTGAAGCAATAAAAAGTATAGAAACGCCAAATTAAGGTATCCAAAAAACGTTACTTTAGCCCTCTTCTGTGCCGGCATTTTAATAGTTTTTATTTACATGACTGCATGCTTTATTTTTGACAAGACTCCTGCCTTCTCTTGTGAACAGAATGCCCAGGGACCCTTAATTCTGGCATCTCCTAACTGTTGTGTGTAACATTTTGTATCTCACATAACAATAGTTGCAAGTAACACTTTCTACCATCTCCAGTTGACTGGGAGACTTCATTCCACTCTGGTGGACACACCATTCATCACATCTCAGCTATATTACAGCAATGCAATATCTGGTGATGAAACCTTTAGCACTATCACAACATATGACACTTGGCCTCCATTCTTTACAATGACTTCCAAACAAATTCAAGGTCTGGACTTTCTCTTCAAATCACTCCAAGAGTTGAGCCTAGGATACCTACAGATTATCTAAAGATCGAGAACGAAATACTGTAGTTGACAAATACATTCCTTTGACACAATGAAATATTCAATAATAAAAAACAACTTTCACCAGAAGCATCCCAACAGCATTCAATAAATTCACAAAAGAATTAAGTTTCATAACAAACTTTACCACTCTAAAGGTAAGGCACACTTTCTTAACTTTGCTTTTCCTAATATAGACACACAGCTACCGTTCCACATATTTAAAAAAAAAATTAAATTAAAATAAAACCCTGCCAGAAAAGGACACTCCACTGCACATGTTTCTCCATCTACGGAGAAGATGAGAGAACAAACACTGTGAAAAACATATGCATGTAGTTTAATGCATGTAGTTTAACGCATTTCTGGAAAGCACACAGGGTATGTCTATACTGGGGGGGGAGGGTTCGGTATACCTCAGAGGTATCCTGAAAAAACTCTGCCATGTCCAGGGAATGCGTTTGCTCTTCTGCTTTTTTTTGTGGAAGAGCAAACGTGCTCCTTCAGAAGTCCCTGAATTCCTCATTCTACAAGGAAAAAGGGGGCTTCCAAAAGAGGATTTTTTCCCCAACATTTGGCCCAGTCTAGCCAGGTCAAATGTCAGAAAAGCCTCTTCCGACAAAAGAATCGGAAAAAGGTACGCAAAATGCAGAGCGCATTTTGCATACCTTTTTCTGACAAAAACTTTTAGTCTAGCCATACCCTCAGATACCACAGTGATATGGGTGGTATGAAACCGATACAGATCAGGTTTTCTGGTAAATTTAAAAAAACAAATAGTCTAGTAGCACTTTAAAGACTAACAAAACATGTAGATGGTATCATGAGCTTTCATGGACACAGCCCACTTGCATTGCCATAGGTTTTTACTAAAGGAAATGGGGAAAAAAACCTGTATTCTATCATTCTGAATTATACTGACCCACATAGGTCATCAGCAGCGTTTGAACCTTTAGATCCACCACACAAATCTCTGCAACTTGATCTAACTGAATAACCAATATCAATAATATGTTGCCATTCTCTATGTCGGGGTAGACAAACTGTAGCCCACGAGCCACATCTAGCCCATCAGTCATTTTAATGTAGCCCTCAAGCTCCTGCTGAGGAGTACGGTCTGGGGCTTCCCTTGCTCCGCACAGCTCCAAAAAGCAGCATCATACCCCATTCCCCCCTGGATCCTACACATTGGAGCCAGAAGGCTCCATGCGCTGCTCCCACCCCAAGCACCTCCCCTGCAGCGGGAGGGCAGCACACAGAGCCACGGGGCCATAACTCTGTTTAAGAGCCAGCCAGGAGAGAGACATGCTTCTGGAAACTGCTTGTGGAACAAAGTGCAACCTAGAGCTTGAACCCCTGTCCCCACTCCATCCAGTGCTCCAACCCTGACCCCTTCCCATTCTCTGAACTTCAGTCAAAGCCTTGAGCCTGCTCCTGCACTCTGAACTCCTCATTGGAGGCCCTATCCCAGAGCCAAGCAGGAGCTCACATCCTAACCTGAATTTTATGAGCATTCATGGCCCTCCATACAATTTTGCCAGCTCCTGCTCTACATGGACCAGAACCAGCAGTAAATGAGACAACTTTTCAGTGGGCTTCACAGGGTATGTCTACACAGCAAAGTTATTTCGAAATAACTTTACTAGAGTCTATACAACCAAACCGCTATTTCGAAATTAATTCGAAATAGCGGAGGGCTTATTTCGAATTTGGTAAACCTCATTCCACGAGGAATAACGCCAAATTTGAAATAGCTATTTCAA